GTGCAAACTTCTTGCTCTTGCTCCTCCACCCCTCTCTGTCTTTGTCTCTCTCACTCTCGTTCTCTATATCCGCCTATTTTTAGTTCGCGCTTTTAGGGCGCCAATTTCAGAGCTATAAATAGAGCCGCATAAGCACAAGGTATGCATGCGTGGGCGTTGTTGTTTTATACACATATATATGTACATAGTTCTCATAATATTATGTTGAGTATGTCTCGAAAACAGAGACCTGAATATAGCTGCAATTGCCTGTCAATTGATGATATAACAGGAGTCCGTCGCATTTTACACATTTTATATACTTTTTCTAACTTATTGGAAAAACAACTGACGCAAATTGTAGGTTGAATAAACGTGGGCGAAAGGACGGCTGAAAGCACGTGGAACCAATGGAATTTACTAATTTAATGCATCAATTTCCTTATTAATTTGCTAAGAAAACGGAATAATAAGCCAAAAGTCTAATCGGAATATCGTTGATCCATATAATCAATCGTTTATCGAGTTGATGTATAATCAGTGGAATATTTACAACAGTCAAGCCGTTAAAAGACCACAACAAAGCATTAGTCAAGCTATCAATAGCTTATCCAATCGATTATCGATTGTAATCGGCATAGCTTAAAGCTTTTCAAGCGATCTATTTATTTTATTAACTGTTAGTATGTCAGTTAACAGCTCTTAACAGCTAAAAGTAAATCGAATTCTATTTCAGAATTTTATCAATTGGTTACACATTGACTTGTTATATTTGTACATATGTACATATGTACATATATCATAATATATATTTATAGACATCTATCACCCTCTCTGTCTAGCATTTTGATCTACCTTGCAATTTGCTAGTTGTCATGCCAACCCATTCCGGCTCCATCTCGATGCCTCCACCAATCAATAGCAATGCCAGCTCAAATATAGAATATGAAAGAAGCACCCTCCTATAGTATATGCATCAAATATACATGTATGTACATATTATATATATACGTACATATGTATATAGATATCAGTATATATTGCTTGCCTGCTGTTTTGCTAATAGATAAATAATTAAAATCAATTTATATTGATTTAGCAACATATTTGTGCACAATGCACAGAAATTAGCACAAATAAGCTGAAATGTTAGGCAAATACACTCCCATACGGCAGCCTATATATGTATGTACCTTTATACGTTGCCAGACCCTAAAAGCAAGTTCCGATAACATCGAATGGAAAAAGACTTTAAAAAATTAAAATCGTGACCGGACTTACGACTTTCCATTTAGCTAAGTCTCAAATGCATTTAGCTGTGTACTAAATCTCTCTATACTCATATATAGTACATTTATATAGATGTATGTATATATACACATTCAATTTAATCGGATACACTGCAGGAACACGTGAGTTTCGTATCAGGAAACAGTTTGACAGAGAGGCGTCTGGTTTCTCTCTTATCATCATCGTACAGCCGCGTGCCAGTGACGATTGCAACTACTGCCTCTCGGCTGATAAGGATTTTGAGAATATAGACATTTCCCATTTGTGGGCAGTTTATAAACATTAACTAAGAGCACTGGAAATGTATACGATACTATATATTTTATTAAATTATATTTGTATGTCCTCGCTAGGAACACATATTTAAGTACTACTGATTTAACAGGCAAAGCTAAAATCAAATAGTAGCAGTCCAACAGTCCAAATTCATCTGTCTAAGAGAGGGAGGAAAGATTAGATACAGTTGGAAGATATCACGGACGATTTGCCATTTTATCTAAAAACTTTACGAGCAGCTCATGGATATCTCTTATCAGCAGCAAACAGCTGCAGAATTGCCAACGCGATAAGTAACTAACGCCCACAGCGAAATGTTCGGAAAAAGGTTTGCAAAAATTTATAAAAAGAAATTACAATGGACCGGAAGTGTCCACTCAACTTCTAATTTCATTAACCATATATCACAAGAAACGCGAAACGATAAAAGAAAACGAAAACAAAAACAAGAAAGAAAGCTCTAGTCGAGACAGCTCGACTACGAGATCCCCTGAACCCTACAAGCAACTGATATTTCAATAATAATTAGCAAACACACACGCACACACACACACACACACAC